GATCCCCGCTAGTGGGTGTGTAGCACATCCGATCCCCGCTAGTGGGTGTAACGCTAGCACTTCTGATCCCCGCTAGTGGGTGTGTAGCATCCCTGATCCCCGCTAGTGGGTGTAGCGCTAGCACTCCTGATCCCCGCTAGTGGGTGTGTAGCATCCTTGATCCCGCTAGTGGGTGTAGCACTAGCACTCCTGATCCTCGCTAGTGGGTGTGTAGCATCCCTGATCCCCGCTAGTGGGTGTAACGCTAGCACTTCCGATCCCCGCTAGTGGGTGTAACGCTAGCACATGTCGACATGTTTACTGATATGACCTGTTCATTCTGACGCCTGCTTCTGGGCGAATACATTGGCAAATTTCTGTCGCCTGCCAGTGGGTTGTTATAACACTGGCCATGACTTATAGATGAGACTACTGATGAGATTTATTCTGCATGAACGGTTTGTCATGAAACACTGTTATTGAACTGAACGGGACTTTGCATTAACGGTTTGTCAGGAAACGTTTTGTTATTGAACTGAATCTGATTTTGCATTGACGATTTTGTCATTGAACGTTTTGCTATTGAACCGAATTTGATTTCCGCATTAACGGTTTATCAGTGAAAGTTCTGTTATATTTACATGATTTATCTGGCATGCTAAAAGTTTTACCCGAGGGCTATCCATAATTACTTACTGAGTTATCTCATAGTTTTCCTTGTCCACCATTTCAGGAAGCGATACCGAGGACGGGGGAAACCGAGGGGAGTGACGAGTTAGAAGGCTAGTCACCTGGAATTTGATATAGATTTTAGATACATATTATGATTCTGTAAACTAGAGTGTATTTCGAGATTTTATGATATCAGAGCAAATTGTAAAAATTTTATCTTGAGATTTGGTGGTGTCAGATTATGAATTGGATAAGTTTTGAGACTTGTGCATTCGTGGGACTCGTCTCACGAGTGCACGGCGTCTATCGCGTCTCCGGATTTGGGTTCTGGGGCGTGACAGCCGACATGTGCTAGCGTTTATAAACTCCCCCACTAGCAGGGTCACTAATAACATGACCACATCGGAGACAAAACAGGCAGAAGTTAACAAAAAAATCATACTTTACCAATCACTTTCAGATCATCAAGACAATCAATTAAATTCCAAGTAGGCATGCTCAATTTAATGAAAAGCATCAAAATCTCATTTCAAATCAATCATGCTCATTTCT